CCATACGATAGTACTTTTTGACCATTTTATGAGCGTCGGAGATCAGCACTTCTAGAAAGAACAAACCAGTGTAACATGTTTCCGTTCTACACGTTATCTAAGAAACGGAACGCTAGTACGAGACTGTCTCCCAGTCTATAATAAGGATAAGGAAAAACTTTAACCTCTCCTCATTTGAGTTTTGAAACTCCTGTTAGTATGTTATTGTCTACCCACCAAAAACCTCAAACAGAATGTTCCACAATAAGTGGAAAAAGTTAAGCGCCCCGTAAACACTCTTCGCAATACGTTGATATCCAAAACCCACATCATCGAGACATTTAAAGGCTCTATGAAACTGATATATCTGGAGAGATCTCAAGCATCCTCTGCATTGTAATGTGCAGTTTTCTTTTAGAAATGACCTACGATAATTCTTGAATTCTTAGGCGATTGGTGGTTGTAAAAACCCAACATTTTTCAGTTTTAACAAAATAACTCCGTAGTGTTTAACTTGTCCTACAGACATTCCACTGCAAACGTAAACACGATACTGACGACTCAGAGTCTATGTGAAAGCAATCATCAGAACAAGGACAACTTGGCTCCAACCTTTATCTGTTTCTAAACATAAAAACGAACAACTCGATTAGTACAAATAAATAAGGGATTTGTAGTCATTAAGTAAAACGCATAAACATGCTGACCAATATTTTGTGTCTTATTGACGTGAATAAAACAAGCATGAGTTGTGGTCTCACTAATATGATAGGAAATACTGTCCTTGAATTGACAGGTCACATGTAAAAGGGATAGTCTACAGACACATTAGACGGGGTTGACGTGGTGGGCGTTTAAGCAGCGATTTGATTGTTTTGCTGTGGACATAAGTAAAAAGTTGTTCTCCTCGTTTTCGTGATGTACATGGTGGTTGGTTTAACTTAATATATGCCCATTAGCTTTAAAAAACTGTAGCTCGTCACGAATAATTCGTAATATCGATTATTTGCTGATGCATGGAAATATATCATTCTGTGTCTTGGTCTTTGGCAGTATTTGTAAATGTACTGACCAAGTAACTCCAAAGTGTTATGTGGTTTCCGAATATGTCACTTTTTGGGATATCTAGCCGTTTGTAGAATCAAAGTTACCGTGAAAAACACAGTCTGATTCTTTGTTGGTCACCAATCTATCGGATACTCTGATATCGATTATGTGAACTCATTGTAGTTGGTTAATTAGTCGCAGGTAGTATAATTTTATATTACATGTTTTTATATCCCGACGAGAACTATGGATGGTAACTTTTGAGAACTATTTATGAACCAATACGATACATTTATTTTTGTCGTGTAATTGTTAAGTAGCTAAACTATGAATATTCTTCTTCCTCTTATTATTAGCTTTATTTTGACCCACAGACTATTATTATACCATTTTGCATTCTTGAGTTACGCCCAGTCTATTAATTTTAGTCTCTCATATTGACAGCTACATTTGGCTAGATCTTGTACAAATTTTGTTTTCTATTTTGTGTTGAGATGTGGTCTGTTTGGTTTGTATACAAACCCAGTATTTTTTAAAATACATTATTTATGTAACGGTGTTCTGGACTCAACAGAAAGTGACAGGTGGGGACAAGGACCTATAAGGAATCTTGACTGCTGGTAAAGGTTTACGCGTAATTGGTCCGGTTGACAAACCACTGTTCTCTAATTGGCGGTATCATTACTTTATACATTAATAGAACACGAGGGCACAATTTATAACAATGTTATCCAGTGGATATTGTAGAATCCATTGTGAATGTTTTGTGTGTGAAAATCCCCCCATGTATACACTTGCAGTGTGTTCTCATTGATTCCTTTAGTTGTACATTTTGTTCTTCCTTTTGATTTTGTTGCTTGTATTGACTGGAATTGTGCATTTTTTGATTTTGAATTGAAGCACTCTTCCAGGATTTTAATCGTTATAAAACAACCAAATATTATCTTTTGAACGAATCTGTGCGTGATCTATCCAGACAGGATACAATAACATTTATTTGTTGTGATTGGTAATTTTCTCGCATCCTTTATCAACTTCCTCGTTTATTGTGATTTAGATTTGAATAATTGAGCAATTATTGGTTGGATAGATGGGTGGTCGTACTTGTTTAGGTAACAATGTACATTTAAATTTATGATGAGTTCCAGAACCGTCGTTTTACCCAATCACTTTGTTTTGGTTTCAACCGGGCAAGGGCGCGTACCTAACCCACCTAGACAGCTATTCTTCAGTCCGAACCTTAGTTTGGATATAACAGTTCTAAACAAATATCAGTCGATTGATCGAACTTGGCTCGTGTTTCGTGGATTACAAGTTTCGTTCCTGAAAATATTCAGTCCCCTCGGTCGTGATGCCAGATACTCGTCAGAGAAAGTTAAGCTCAAGGCTCACCATTGTTATGGGAGACGAACAAAAGAATGGATACCCTCTTACAATGCAAGCGCCCTTTGATGCTTTTATGTGTCATGGTTCAGAGCCGAATAGGGACAATTATCATAATGATGAATCTAGTTGTGATTCAATGACAGATGACTTAGAAAATATTAGTTTAGATATTAAGCAAGGGAAGAGCATAATGCCCATAGTGCCTGCCGTAGATTTAGGGTTTGATAAGTGCTGCTCTAGACTTGCTGTAAAACAAGATACAGTATGGTGGTTCATTCAAATAACTAACTCGTATGTAAGTAACTGCTCCATAACCAATCTCTGAAGCATCACTGAACATGTGTAATTCTACTTTCGCGTCAGGTTCGTCGATTCTTTTCTTGATCCCTCGAGCCACAGTAACATGACCTATCTGTCGCATAAAATTCACTCAATTTAGCTACGTGGACATTTATGTTCCGTTGAGAGGCTGAACCCAGCCTATTTGGGACTTAAATAATTGTTGAAAGAGAAGTTGGCAGTAAGACCGACTGGAGCAATTGAACCCAAAGGATCGAACAGAGAAGAAACTACAGATAGAATTCCCCTCCTAGTCAAAGGATTTTCTGGCGCATCAAAATAAAACTTAAATACATCTTGTTTGAAACCCCATTCTACACCTAGGGTCCGATGAGTGGTGTCGTAACTCTTTGACATTTCTATCAAAGACTCTTCTTTACATACATCAGGCAAGATGGTCCTTACTTTTTCCGAGTTGGTAATCCATTTCTTTAATGAAAAACCTTCCATACGCAATAATTCACTTACATGCTTAACGAACTCCTTCGCCTGGTCACAAGTAGGAAAGGATATCAAGCAATCATCAACATAGAAATTGTTTTTGACAGCATCTACGACATAACGATTTGTTCTGTTTGCCGTTCACTTAGCATCCAACGAATAAGGCTCTTCATAGCAACGTGGACACAACCGGATTCAATCATGCTCACGAAGAAATATATTATTATTATTACTGACTGTCCGGAGCTTACTCCTGACAATAGTGAGTTCAGAAAAACTGCTGTGGTTAACTTGAGTAGTATAAATTACAACATATCACCTATTATTTCTTATTATTCTGAGTGGTTGTAATTAATCAGGTTGGTCATTGATTGTGCCGCCAAGTATGCAGGAGTTCCCCTGCATGCAAGTGAAGGTTCCTGAGTTTGATTGAGGAGCTTTAAGATATCTGTGGTAGCTGGAGGGAGACACGTCGAGGGAACTATCCGAATTTCAAATTACCTCTCAACAATTTGGTGCCACAACATCGCCGTTTTGTGAGAACTTCACCAAGAATAAGACAACCCAAACATTCTCTGATGGTGATGATCGTTATGTCGTAGATGCTGTCAAAAACAATTTCTATGTTGATGATTGCATCTTTCTCGTCCCTAATGAGGAAAGCAAATACAGAATGTTCTCACTCCTGACTGTGAGTTGTGGGTTTATTGAAAATGACATAATGTACATTGTCACGCGTACTGTTAGTGAGGGTAGTTGTCATTTACTCGTTGCCCAAACCTTATTGCCGTTACGCCTCTGTACATTTCGAAGTATGACCACGCCCTCGGGCCTTACGTTGCTGTTTTTAGGCCTACTGTTTTTCAACTGATTTACCTGGCATAGTAGAAACTAAAGGAAAAATTGTTCCAGCCAATGTAGCTCTGTTCGATCATTAAGATATAGAGCTTGACCATCACCTCAAGATAAAAGTTATAGTCGTGATGTCTACAATGTATTAATTAAGTTTACCCTCTAACTGGTTGTCATACTTGTGTAACCCGTCAGTTCTTGCCGTTTTATCCCCGCTTTGAACAGCATGATTTTACTCTACCCATAGGTAGAACACTTAGCTTAATCTAAATAATGTATATTTCGAATAAATCCCCTTTTCCTACACATTTCCAAAACTGTTGGTTTTGCTGTATCTATTACATCTGTTTATTTTAAAATAATTGATTAGTCTTTGCTCTGGTGTTAAGTCTGAAATGTCTTTCCGTAATCTCTGCCTACACACTGACAGATTGTAGCTAGGATGAAATCGAAGATGAGTTCCACCGCCAGTAATGTGATCTCATGAAAGCGCATTCGGTAATGCGACCCGGAGACTTGAATGTGTAGTTCGTATGTAGGCACATTATTTTTATTTATTTATTTGTTTGTTGGAACACAAATATTGGTACAAGGGGGCACAAGATATATATGAGCCGCACAAACCAATGAGAATGGGAAGACAAAAAGAATATAAGGTGCGTATAAGAAAAAAAGAACAATAACGACTACAGATTAGTGTATGGTAGTGTAATATTAATAATAATAGTTGGGGAGACGCAAAGGTACAACCAGAAGGATTCTTTCAGTTAAGAAGGTTACAACCACTTTTTATGAAGAAAGTAAAAGAAGGTTACAGCAGTATTGCCTCTCTCTTCTATTCTGAGCCATATCTGATAACGTCCCTACCCATTGTGTTGGAAGAGCTTCGGGTAGTTACTAGATGCAGCTGCTGCTTCCAGCTCAATAGCACGCTCCGACTACCAGGCTTCTTGGTCCTTACGCAAGCTTTGCCCGATTTCATTACGTAACAGTCGTCATTTGTGGTCAAACTCACAGTCACCCGGAGTAGACTGACGGGTTTCAATGTGTTGTAGGAGGCTAAAGAAGGTCGAGATTCGCAGAGATTGCCCCTCTTTAAATCAACCATAAAACATAATCACATGTAAGCACTGCTTTATCTTCCATACTAATAAACAACGGTCGTTGCCATACAGCATACGTTGTAATGGTTATATGTTATTTTAGAGAAATCTGACATTTGGTGGGAACTTTATTCTTGGCTTATACATTCAAAATACAGTCGAAACCCAACTTGGCCATTACTTTTTATTTAACTGTCTTTCAGCTCATTAGTGTTGGTGAGACTCAGGTATTGACGTAGACCAGTCCAAAAGCGATGTTTTGCAACTAAGGACAGAGAACCCCACGCCAAACACGGTACTGTTAGTTTATAGCGTAGTCAGTCGGCCGCTGAGAAATAGGATTTTCTCCAGGCCGGTATGTGAATATAATGGCTAGGAGTTTGTTTGCAAAGTAGGAAGATCGAAACCTTTGCATCTTAAAGGATATCTATTACTAGGCTGGGCAAAAATGGAAAACGTAGTTAGTCCTGTTGAACACCACTTAAAGTTGACTATTTGATTACTGTCCACCGCTCTTCATTTCAATCAACGATAATCAAATGGAGAGCATGTTCTAGGTTGATGCATCTCACTGTTATACCTTTGAAGTCACTTTTGCAACTCCCATTATCTTATTCTTACAGTACACTCCTACTAACGGCGTAAGGCAAAGTACACTGTGACCAACGCTTATAAGCGTGTGAGATGTGGACGTCCGTGACATAACAATGATGGGTCTACGTTAAGAGACATTGTGCAAGGGTACACTTAGGACCAGTCAACAGTAAGTTACCATCAAAACATCTACTCAAAGCTCTTTACCAGTAGATACGATACAATGAAAATTCCAACCACAGGATATATTTCAGTCTAATTCCATACTTTGTTGGAAAATAACCCATCTGTGAACCAACTTGGTCTACTAGCATAATGGTCAATATACCGACACTTGGTTATGCAAGTCGACGAAGATTTCGTCAGTTTGACTGCATATGTACAGTAAGATTTGAAGTAGGATTTATGTTACTAGCTACTCTGCTACGATTATACTGGGTTCAGATTTACTATCACGGATCTTGGCCCGGACGTTCAATTACTACTAGTGTATTCTCCTAAGCGTAAATGTGTTTAGGGGACTATTCATCGTATTTATATGTCTTCAAAAGATTGACTATACAAGTTGCAAGCTTTAGACGAGGAATTCCTCTATTAATAGATTGAGGGATACAAACCCCAGCAATCAGTAAACTCACTGAAGACAAAGCATATCTATCATGAGTATAATGGAGTCTTTCGTAGAATACTAGAGTGAAAGACTACGACCATAAAAAATGGACTAAAGATTCAAATAGTAAAGAACCACAAAATGGACGAAATTCAGGTTTGAAAAACATATTCGTTTAAAATACAAAAACTGTACAGTGCAGCAATATCTGTCCAAAGAAATAAATGGCTTGTCAAGAAGCTTTGCCACTGGAGTTTGTAGCTCCCAAGGCGGCGGCAATGTTGGCAGCTGCTGCTGCGGCAGCTGAAAGAGGATCAGGTTTGGTAGTTGGTTGTTTATCTGAAGTAACAGGGGGTCTTGGTGGGGAAGGTTGTTCTTTGCGACGCGATGAACGACGATCGCTTTGTCTAGAAGGGCGAACTGACCGTTCATGATCCCGACGTTCACTTCTATGCCTACTACGATCTCTTTCACGGCTTCGGTCTCGACCAGGTCGATCGCGATCACTTCGTCGCCCACTGCCTCGATGTGATCCAACGCCAGATGGATTTGGTGAGGGAGCTTCGGTAGACGCGTGTTCCTCTGCACCAACAACCCCTCCAGAGTAACGGTCTTCGCGTGAACGGCGAGAATGATGTGATGTTCCTCTACGGTGTTCATATTCTCTTCCAGATCTTGATGAATCACGATGGCTTTAAGTAAATCATATAAACAGCAAGGCATAAATATATCAAACAATGAACAAGGAATTGCCAAACAGAACATCAGTAATCCATAAAGGGATAATAATGTATTGTAAATAAGTGCAGTTATAGGGTCATGAATTTCACCAAAAATAATTCACTAACAACGACAATGCATGGTGAATTCATTTGTACCAATCACTGCCTAGATGTGCATAAATTAGACAGGTACGAGGTCTAAGAGGAGAACTAGATTAGACAGCTATGAACAAATATCTCTTTTGAAAAGAAATATCTTACGCCTGCAAAACACAAGTGGCTTGGTTAGAAGTGTGAAAGCATATGATACCCATGATTAAAATTGACAACTTTCTAGAGGGGGATTGTAGGAAAACGTAGTAATATTAATCAGATGATTTGTAAATCGCTCAATTTACTGTGGATTAGTGTCTTGACGACCAGTTAAGTGTCATATGAAAACGAAGGGGTATACTTACCGACGGTGCCGAGAATGATAACGTTCTCTGCTACTTGAACGACTACGACGACGTGATCGATAGCTTTCTCTGCAAGCGAAACAAGAAAGATTATTAAAAACCCTTAATTTTGAATCACAATTCTTAAGATGAAAACTTTAGATCAAACTACATCCCTTAGCGTTATACAACACAAACTACGCTGGGTTGTTACAATGCAGTGCCTTGACAAAGCAAACGAGTGAAAACATTTTTTCACACTGAATAGTAGATGAATAATCATTGATTAATCACAAACATACATTTTACCAGATGCACAAAAAACTTTGTTTTTATTGGCCATTTGATAGAGAGGTTAATGGAAATAAGTTCAAAGAGTAATTACTCTAAAATTAAACAAATACTTTTGATCTGGCAAAGTATGTAGACCTAAACTAACATACTGAACGACAATAAAATAGAGGGAATCAAAAGAAATACAAGAAATTGAGCTAACAAAACGTCGATAAACAGTACTGAAGTGTATATGAAATAAGAATGAAGATTGAATAATTACTAGAATGGTTTAATTCGAATTATCCATGTAACTTTACCAACAATTAATTCTCACTACATTGAGTTCGATTATTTATTGAATTTTTACTTGAACACATAAACGCTGGTACAAGGCGGTTTAGTAACCCGTAGATCTGACTCTAGGTAGGTCGTTTGCTAACTGCTACCGAAACATACATTCCACCAAACCTCGTATACAATTAAGAACTTGAATCGCGTTAGTGAATAACAGAATTAAATAAGTCAAATATGAGAATGGAATTCGAAAACGTATATTTCGTTCAAACATTTATTCAGGTAGATGATCAAAAAACGAAATGATGCGCGGTGGAGGCGTGCGACTCAAATCCATTAACCAAGCGTTACTCAATATTTATAGTCAAACAAAAATAAGTTACAGACATGTGATAAGTAATATGAGAAATGCATACACATACACTTACATAAAAACAGTCAAGGTTGATAAGCGAATTATCGTGGTCAAAATGTGACTCAAGCATGAATAAATTAGCCTGTTCGGAGGCTAGAATAAGCTGTGTGGGCTTGACATAGCAACCGACACTACAAGGGAACCAAATACATATGCACCGTACAATAACAATGATATTGAGAAGAGTGAGAGTGGAGGGTGAGTATAATAAGAAGAGCAACAACGAACGCAGAAGTCGGTGTTTAAAGATGGTGACACCAACTGAGTTATCGTCACTATGGTTGAACACATGTTCTCGAACCTCCACATAACTAACGTGATGTTGTCGCTGAATGACAGCAATTTTTCGAAGACAAAGATGATCAAAGACAAATAGTCGTCTAACATCCTCAACTCGGAAAGGCCAGGTTTCACAAGCACAGAGCAAAACTGCTCTCACCAACGCGCTGTAAATCCGACCTTGTACAGCCAGACTGACATCACGAAAACGCCAAAAGGTGGTCCAGATTGGCATAAACCGCTCTGGCTTTCACTATACGTGCATTGATCTCATCACTCACGCCACCACCAGCAGTTATGCAGCTACCTAGATACACAATCTTCGCGACTACTTCTATCTGCTCACCAACCAGGGTGAGTACAGGATTAGGATCCTGCCAGTCTTGTAGAAGTACTTTGCACTTCGAAAATGCAAAGCAAATACCGAACCTACGGACACTGATTGCCAACCGATTACGTGAGGATTGCATGCCTTGGGCATTATCGCACAGTAAGACAATATCATCCGCATACTCAAGGTCGAGAGGTCTTTCTCCAGACAACAGGTCCACACCGCCATCACTTACATCCATCAGGGCTGTTTCCAGGACGTCATCAATGGCAAAGTTGAAGAGGAATGGCGAGATTGTGCGACCCTCTCTAACCCCACTTCGTAAATGGAACAATGGAGAGAGGTGGTTGTATGCCCTCACTCTGCCTGAGGTGTTTGTATATAGGGCTTTTCGGATGTTAATAAACTTCTCAGGAACACCCTTCTTCAATAGACAATCCCAGAGAACTGTCCTGTTCAGCGAGTTGAAGGCAACCCTGATGTCAAGAAACACTACGATTGTTGGCCTTTGATAAGTATGACGGTGTTCTAACATTTGGCGGAGGGTGAAGATATGATCAATACATCCTCGACCATAACGAAAACCAGTCTGCTCCTCGCGAGCCAACCTTTCTCGAATTTTGAACAATCTACAAAGAATGACGGAAGCCAATAATTTGGACGCGATCTAGAGTAGATTCATCCCTCGACGATTTTTGCTGAAACGACGTGAACATTTTTAAAGATAGGGACAACTATCAACTCATTCCACGAAGTTGGAAAACACTAGTACGAAAACGTTTGCAAACAACTCGGTTCCTTAACCTGAAGGTCACTACTGACCTTAAAAAGGGTCTGGTCATTTGTGGTGTCTTAGGAGTTGGAGTGTCTTAGCTTTCTGTCAGATTGAAACCACTTTGGAGGGCGCTAGAAGTCGGAAAGTGTAGTGAATTGTATTATATATGACACAATCAAACCACAACATGGTAGATTTGTCTTTGAGACACTTTGTATGACTTGATATGACTTGAGTGACCCATAACTACGATGAACCGAACAAATACCCTAGATGTAACAAGGCAATCAGATTAAGTTGTTATGGTGTGTTAGATAGTTCAATGAGAGGATATCAGACAACAGAAGTCACTGAATCCCAGAAACACCAAGGATGTGTTGTTGGTATTTGTTATGACTATCAGTTAATGAAGTTACTTCACCTCCTTGGACCCAAATTTATGCTGGTTATACGCCCCAAATATATTATTTGTATTCGGTGCTCATGTATCAAAAGCGAAATACCATAACATTCGAATTATAAGCCACCTGATCACAAAATATTAGTGATAACTAGTAATATTCAGAAAATCGAGATATATCATGCATTGAAAATAAGATACTATATATAATCTTCACAGTAGTAGATAGGTAAGGGAATATATCCCTATCTACCGATTTCTATTGTGATAAGTAATGAATAGTGGTTAAAGACACCTGGAAATTCTAATTCATCATTAGTCAGTATTGAGTGCATATAAATGGCTGACTGATTGTCAACATTACCACAAATATCTAATTTATTTTGTTAGCACACTTGTTAACAGTGATGCATAAAGAAAAAAAGTACAGGTACGATTTCGAGATTAACTTAAACACCATTAAACAATCTATTACACTTAAAAGATGAACCGTGAAGAGTTTCATCAACATAAGTCGGAGTTTCAAGACAGACAACTCGAACGTCCAAAAACTTCAACTAAATGATACATACTTTATCTTATTGTTATTAACTAGGTAGTGAAGTGTGACTTTATACTGTAAACTGATATTTTTATTACATATATTTTCGAAAAACATGTATTGGTTATCTTGAAGCATGGTTTTGCACTGATAATTAAATCGTGGCCTAAAACCTTTTTTATCTAATACCTATTTACATTTATGGTAAACACCATTATTCATCACACTAGAAAACTACATTTTGAGAGGGAAATAACACAAAAATATGACTTCGACTTACAGAATATATCTGGTATAAGATAAGAAATGCAAACAACAATATTACTCGTATCAAGAAATTTATACTGAAGAAAAAGAAAACAGGAAGGTTCTTCGCTATTATACTTCAATGACCAACGAACAGATCTTATGTAGAGACTAACTAATTACTGTTGAGATTAAAAGCAATATATTTATCCGTAACACGTTCTAAATTGCAAATAATAAATTATGCAAGTTTGATTTTATCCTTCATTTAATGTACACTTATAATCCGTTGCTATAAAATAACACTGTAAATATCAGCAGTTAAAAACTGAAAAAACGAGAAAAAACTACCTTTCGTAATAACTAATTTCGTCTGGATGGTAATGACGCCGTCCGCGTCGAGACATTGGATCTTCATTAGAGCTACAAATAAAAAATAAAACCTACCTGTAATGAAACCATCCAGAGAAAAAAAGGTAAGGAGAAATTAGAACGAAGATAACTTGACATTAATTTGTGAAGTTTTACAGCTCAATTTGTACTGTTACCTAGATTTCATTACCAATAACAGTAAATAACAGGGTCTAGTGATGTGGATGTTCAAATACTTGTAATAATGAGACAACTGATTGATAAAGTAGTAGAATTAAATGTTTGTATGACTAAATAAACATATGTTGCAAAGTAAAACGCGTCCTGAAATTTAACAAATGGATACCAGAATACAGAAATAACTGTCAACAAAATATATCTTAAATAAACTGTCATGTACATGAAGAATGTTGAGCTAAAATAATATATTTGCCCCCAAATGCCCAGGTACGGCCGAGAGTGGGGAGAGTATGCTCTCCCTCTCCAAATGCTCTCACATGGCCACGCTTATATAGCCTCTGTCACGGAAGTCCTACTCACTGACTTCTCGCACCACGGGTGTTGTTTACGAAAATGAGAGGACGAAAAGCGAATATCCCGCGCTTTAACCGGGTTAGTGGACATGGAGAGTCCACCTAGGGGAGTTGGAAAACCCTGATTCCAAACCAATGGTACACATGGGCTCCAGTATCCTAAAGGAACAAATGGCGTATGAACCAATCGTTGGTCACCGACTACCATGGGACTGAATCTCCTTACGTTGCTCCACTGCTTTGTGGATCAAACCTTCAAGTCGAAGGCTCCGGGTGTGGCCCCCTAAGAAAACCACCTGCTTTGATTTGGGCACCCGGGTAGTATCACAGCCCCCACGCATATCAAATGAGATCTGTGTGGCGCATATGTATTTGAAGCCTTCTTGTAACAATATCTATGCGTTAAATAAATAAAATAAAGACAATGCACAACTAATCAGAGAAAACTGGAGTCACAGAAACCACAGTTCTGAATAACGTACCGTGTATTAAGTTGCCCATTCTGATTTCAGAAGTTACCTTATGCTGAAGAACATCGTACAGTTGTGAAATACACTGGTAAATACATTTAACATGTGCCTATTAACGAGTAATAACTTTTGACTACATCTTTTATAAATCGACAGTTAGATTTCATACTGTTATAAAGCGCACTGAGTAAACTAAACAATGGTATGAAAATCATTTCAGTTACAAAAGGGGAAGCATTCTCTGAGTGTCGAGTAAAAAATTAACTACATAGGACGGTGAAACAGTAACTGTCAATAAAGATGTTACACTTAATAGAGACACTTCATATTTTTGTAAAACTTCCAGTTATCACAGCGACAAAAAAATGAAAGTAATATTAATCACGAGAAAGTGGAAACACAAACACAAAACAACTTCCATGATCTCAAAAGTAATAAGTAATATAACTATCACTCTAAACAAGAATTATATATATATATCCAGTTATTAATCTTATTACACAACAAAAGATACTGTTATCCTAAAAATCCAGTGATAGAAATAAATAAAACAAAATCGTAAGGATTTGAATAGAGATAATAAAGATGCCATATTTTTATACATTTGAGTAGATAAAGGTGATTAAATGCAAACACTTCCTAATAGAAAATAATTCATAGAAAAAATTAATACTTACGGTGGTCTGGTCTGCTCAAACGTTTAGGCTACTTATTATTCAAGTGTGCAAACATAATCATAAACCTTATTGTTTGAATCAAATAATTACAAATACGAATCGTGTGCTGGCTTGATATTATGAATGGTGTACGAAATTAATACGATGCTAAATACTAGTATTCTTAGAACAAAACATTGCATATATTAGCATATTCTCCTGCTTGTTTATTCTTTGAAAAAGGAGATAAATGAGTGGAAATTCAAACATTTCATATCTGATGGCCAAAAGGTAGTGGTAGCACCAGAATTAAGAGTAAACTTTTGTTGACGAAAATGAACAGATGGTGATTAGTGAGAGAAAAACATTCATTGAATATAATTTTTGAGTAAATACAGTTTGAATGTATGTTAAAGAGAAATATAATGCAATATTCAACTATTTAAGCTGAGAATTCCTTACCGTAATAAAATTTATAGCAATGAATAAAGCTATCATTACAACCATTATTATGAAAAATAGTAAGTGGGTTGATCGAATAGTATTAAGCATTAATAATCTGTTACTTACTACATTGAACCTGGGCTACGATCTCCATGATCAATGATACCACTAATTTGACCAGTAGTAGGATCAATAATAGCATCACCAGATGCAATCAGACTAGATAGTGCCATATTTCCAGTAGGCCATCCGGTTAGATTGTTCACAACAGGAGGAGGAACTGCAAGGTTAGGAAATAAAGCAGCGGCTGCAGCAGCAGCAGCGGGATTTGTAGCATTTAAGACTTGTGAATTGTTTCCAGGTGTTAATGTTCCAAAACCTGGAGGAGGTATGTTAAAAACACCAGTACCAGTTGTATTTCCATTCGTTTGTTGAGTTCCACCTAAATAGCCAGGTGGTGGTTGGTTGAATTGACTGAGTAAGTTTGAAGAATTATTTGCGGTTCCATTTAAGAGACGATTTGAGACATCAGATGGGGAATTTCCGGATTTAGAGCTGGAAATAGAATTTAAATATCGCATGTTTAATCCAGGACCACTCAGATTTATTACATTGATACTAGCTTGTTTAGAACCATCAAATGAACGGGTATTGGAAGAAACTGTGCCAGAACGAATCCGCTGTAACAAATTGGCACCCCCACTACTTAAAACAGGCTTCAGTGTTGTGTTTGCATATTCCTGTCTCAAGATTTTCTGTTTCTCACAATACTGGATCCACGTTTCTTCAGTAAATCCATAATTAAAGTAGTCTGTTATATCGGCTCCGGGTCGCTTCCATGGTTTTTCTTCATCTCCTAATGTGGAAAGATTGTACTCGACAGTTGGGATTCCATTAATATTTCCTGGATCATCCAATTCTACACCTTGACGAGCGACTTTCTGATCTAAAGTAGTGAAAAAAAGCCTAATAAGCAATTTACTATGGATACAAAATGTGGCTAGAAAAACTTTAAGGTGGACAATTGTTATAGTCCAAAGCCGCCAATCAGAAGCAGCGAATTATCGATCAGACCAAGGACGCGTAAAACACGTGTGAGCAGCTTAGAGTTCTGATTGGTCCTGCTTCCCGCCTAGCCCAGCCAGTTAAGTCCAGAACACCAGTCTCAGCCTTTGCAATATGAATCCTTATATTTCAAACATACTGAGTTTAAATACCAATCAAACAGACCACAACGTAGCATAAAATAGAAAATAACATTTGTACAAAATTTGGCAAAATGTGGGAGGCTGTGACTAATAGACAGGGCATAATTCCAGAATGGTAAAACGTATAATAATGGTTCATATGTCAAAATAAAGTTTATAATAAGAGGAATATGAATAGTTTACTTATTTAACAATTATACGAGAAAAATATACGTTTAGTATTGGTCCATAAAAGGATGAAAAGTTACCATTCATTGTTTATCGGGACCTAATAATAATTAAATTTAGTCTCTATAGAACGGATCACATGCGTGGATTGTTAATACGATACGAAAATGAGTGAATTTCGTTTATTACTTCAGCTACTCAGAATAATACAAGTATGTTTATCGAACTTCCGTAAGTTGGATGTTTCTTTTCCAACATTTTTATGGAAAAGAATAAGCAAATTCATAGTACACACTGAAAGAATTTGAGAAACTAACTTTGACGACTAAGTTACGATTCCATTGACAAGTTACTTTGATATGATAACATTCGCGGGGGGTGCTTTCCTGTGAAGTCCAAAAACATGTTTGTTATGCAAAAGAGCGCCACTAAATTAATTTTCCTCACAAGAATAACAAGTCCAGGTAAAGAAATAAGCAACGGCGTGATGCGATTTGATCACGTCTAAAATCCAGATATGAGCTAGATATTTTGGAGCCTGTTATTGATCAAGTAATTAAAAGACATGATAAGAGATCATGTGGTCTACTGCTCAGTCAGTCAAACACAACACAGAACTTGTTGAGTGTAAATATCAGTTCAATTTGCTACAACCTATAATGACAGTGAAGTGGAATTGTTAGGGAGAATTCCAATGTAGCAGGGCTAGTTAACAGTACTAGTGATAACAAAAAGGATTAGATATCGAAGATGCGATGCAAGAACACAAAGTAGTGAAAAAAGATTGTGAAGAATCCAGGAACTTATGACCTGGAAGAATACAAAAAATGTATGGGCCAGTATTTTTGCGAACGACTTCCAGGTATTTCATTCGAGGTCTCTAACCACTGGTTACAATAATCACGCCAACCCCAACCAGGTAGTCTACAATTGGTAACATGGCTCAGTTCGATTTTCAATGAGCTCATAAACTGGTGCTGTTTTGGTCTGACCACACCGAATTTTCTCCCAACTTATCCCTACATCAGGAAACATCGTTCATTGAGGTAGGTAGTTATTAGGCATACGTAACGCATGTCCTAGACACCTCAGTTGATGAAGCGTCACTACCTTACCAATCGATTAGTCATTTTTACTTAATAGTACCCTACACCAAACCTCAATATTGTTTACTCGCTTGTCCCAGAGTACACAAACAATGCTTCTAAGATACCTGTGATCCAATAATGGTAACCTCTACTCCTAACAACTATGTTTCACATTTACAAAGCAGAACGGAGTGAACTGCCGTGCAGTAAACTCATGTTTTAGTTGGTAAACAGATACCTCACCTACGCTACAAGTAACGCATATTGGCAAAACCCGATCGAGATTTTTGAATCGGTGCCGGTGTTTCGTCAGACACCAGTTCACCGGGACTAACCGGATCTCCAAGATAAGTGAGGTTGTCGATACGCTCAGCTACTTCATTCCCTATAATCAATTCAGGCATCTACACCTGCCAGTCCTGAAACAACACAGCAGTAATGAATGGACATATCATAAGTGCAAAGATGACTCTTTTTGGACACTAATTTTCAAACGAAAAAAACCGATTTTAAAATATACATTGTGAAAACAACACTGTCATTAATGAGACCAATCAGTTAGTACATGACGATTTTACTTAATTAAAATAGTAGACGCATCATAAGGCAATATATCAACTGAGAGTGAAAACAAGTGTTGTTCAAAATCGTATGTTTACAAGCCTCAACTAGTGTACGGAAAAAATGTGGAGGAAGATATTTCAGTTATAAAATGGAATACAAAACATAGATACACCAGAGTACGAGTACGATACAGTACCCATAAAGTTTTCTTTGTCGTCTTATTATTAGCAAGGAGTATTTATACAACTTATTCATTACATTTGTCGGTTATAATAGTTTAAACTTATAATACCGTGAACTATATTTATACATTATGTTATTAATTAACTAATATCTAGTACTATCCTATTCATACTCGCTTCGGTTGTATATTTACCAACATCAGAACGATTCAGAGATGACCGCTACAGCCTCTGCCTAAGAATATGCAAAATAGTACAGTGCCCTACAGTTAACTTCATCTGGAGTCACTCTGTAGCTCATGCTAGTCCAAAGCCCAGGTAACCGGAACGTAGCACCTAACTTGACGTGGTGATCGGGCTTGCTTATTGTGATGATCTAACCGAGTTATATTGCCAGGAACTTATGTTTCTGTATGTTCTACCATATCAGGCGGGTCTATTGGAGAACGGTAAGACTAAAAACAGCAACTCAAGGTCTGAAGGCGAAGTGGTAATGCTGACAGTAGAGGGGAGTGACAGCAGTAAGGTGTCTCCCTTGGACAACCAGCATGACAGCGATGCTGCCTTTCCACAAGGAAGGAAAGGGTTAGAAAAGGTCGACCCTAAAAATGTCACACCTCACCTTACCTCATGTATTTTCATCTCCGGCGGTAAGGCCCTTTGGAAAACGGAGCTAACACGTCAAAAACCTTCCACAAAAAGGCCGTGCGCGACCGGCCTCAAGCAGTTGTCCCTTGGGCTCTGCGGTCACGCTCCCAGGTCGTTAAGACCAACACTAATCCAATTTCCTTTTCAGGTTCGTCAAGAAATACCCTTCTACGGTGCGGGCAGTCGGGAAGCGACATCAGCCCTCATACCCGTAACGGCACACGAGACCAAGTTGGCCATAATCAAATCCTTCCTACACTTCCTAATAACTCTCTTATCTTCATGACTAACCCTTCTCACGTTTCTCTATCACTTCGCACCGATAATGAAAACGATTCGCGTACGCGGAACGTTATTCCCAGTCTCCTGAAACCACGCTCTGAATCACATGTAGGAGCTTTTAACGTCCGAACACTGTGCCAAATAGAACAGGCTTCCTTAGCTGGGATTTTAGAATCTCGCGCCTTCAATGTATCTTGCGTCTCTGAAACGCGCATACAGGATCCAAGTAGCGTCATTCATTTGACCTCGTCATATCAAAATAAAGGACCATCTCGATTCACACTTCGTGTATCTGTAAACACTAATGCTGCTTTTCATGGCCTCGCTGATGTAGGTATAGCATTGAGTCCTAGGGCAGAACTAACTCTCTTAGACTGCATCCCAGTAGACAGTCGCTCACGTACCGTCCGACTAAATGAAAAAGTAAGGACTCGGAAGGATGGGGACGCTCTTCGTTGTCTATTACTACTCTCCCACTGACTGCAGCTCATATGAGGTAAAATATGAGTTTTGCAGAAAGCTTCCTGACCTCCTCCAAAGAATTAGGCGCTCTGATGAAGCAATAGTGTGGTGTGCGTTGCTTATATCCATATAAGTAGTATATAACAGTGGTCAGGCATAGAATGTATTGCAGCAGATGGATGAGGAAAGAACGGAAACGGAAAGCAATTGGTATGAAAACACATGAACAATGAAATCTGAGACAATGGACTGATATTTGCGAAAAAACAATCAAATTTGCGACGATGGATTGATATTTTGCAAATGAACGATTTACTACATAGTTCTCAGATTTTATTGAGATGCTCTGTAATTTCGTGTCAAATACGTTCCATTTTCCCCACTCGTGTTAGCGTTCGCAACAAAAGTAGCTAGTGACTTTAATGCTCAAGTAGGTAAACTAAGCGAAAAGGAAAGACACCTAGGTGGGTCTTATGGTGTCGCGGCTCGAAGAACAGATAATAGCGACCCTCTGTTACAACTATGCTCAGATGACTGCCTGTTTCTAGCAAATACTAACTTTAAGCATAGGGAAAAACATCCTTTGACATGTCGACCCCCGAATTCGTTCCAACGTTGGACCTAACTAGATCAGGTCACAATCAGCCACCGATGGAGGAGCTAGATAGATGACTGTCGCTCATCCTGGAGCACAAGCTTAGATTCAGATCATGCTCTAGTGCGAGCGCGTATCTGTCTGCGTCTTACTGGACGTAGGAAAGACGCTGCAAGGAAACCTCTTAGGGTCCTACTTAACGATAGCCAAGGTAAGAATATATTTCAGGAACAACTAGGAAAACAGTTAGACAGCCATATAGGTGATGCCCACCCCGAGGCAGCATGGAATGATATCCGAAAAGCTGTGGAAACAACAGTGATATCTGATAGTAAGATAAACCATAAGGTTAGAGAGAAACACTGGGTCGCAGCAGCATCTACCGCACTGATAGATGCTCCAAAACTCATTCCATCTGGCTCTGAACATGACGAAGAGCGGAGTCAGCCTAAGCGCAGGCTGATAAGAAGCCTACGTAATAATCGTGAACAGTGGTGGGTAGCGAAAGCAAGAGAGATGGGAAAGGCAGAGGCAATAGGCAACAGCAGAAAACTTTCCAGACTTGTTAAAGAAACCGGTATTAGGAACCTGACTGTTAGCGAAACTATCTCGGAAAAAGATTGACATACTATTCATCCTCAATCCATGAGATTGGATCGATGGGCAGAACACTTTAGGGGTCAGTTCAACTGACCTCCAGTCAACCTGAATGGCAAGTTGATGTAAGTCTTCCGACCCTTCACGAAGTCGAAAAAGCTGTAGGAAATCTGAAGCGAGGGAGAGCAGCAGGCTCTGACAGGTTTACCCCTGAAATTTTTAACGATGGCGGTTCAGTATTAGCACTGAGATTGACTGAGATCTTAGGCAGAATCTGGGAATCCCATCTGACTGGTCTCAATCACTGATTGTGCCAATCTATAAAAAAGGACAAAAGTTCTTTTGTGACAATCACAGATGAATCAGTTTGACTAATATAGTGTCTAAAATATTAGCTTCAATAATTCTTCGACGCCTATCTAAAGCTCGTGAAGAGCAGACTAGAGAAAACCAGGTTAGTTTCTGACCTGGACGTGGCTGTATAGACCAGATATTCACACTACGTCAGGTCCTAGAACACAGACACACGTTCAGATGCCCCACAATCGTAGTATTTCTCGACCTTAAGGCGGTGTTTGACTCTGTTGATCGTGAGGCTCTATGGCAGTGTTTGTCACTGAAAGGAGTACCAAAGAAGTATATTAACCTTATAAAAGCTCTCTACTCCAACACAACTGGTCGAGTGAGAGCTTATGGCGAACTGTCATCAGAATTGATTACCACAAGTGTTGTTCGTCAGGGCTGTCCACTCTCTCCATTATTGTTTAACTTTATCGTAAACGTGCTTTTAGACATAACACTTTCCTCATCTAAATTTCCGGGGGTTGAACTTCTACCGGGAGATTCACTTGTTGACTTAGCATATGCCGATGACATAGTTCTATTTGATGAAGACGCTGACAAAATGCAGTCTTCTGACCACTAAGCAACAATGCAAGCATGTTCTGGATGCAATTCTCCCCCTCGAAATGCAAAATGTTGCTTCAGGATTGGGTTGTATCGGCACCTGAACTAATGATAGAGAGTGAAGTAGTTGAGCGTGTCGACCGCTTCACTTATACTGGGAGTCTCATCAGCCCTTATGGTCTGGTATGTGACGATGTAGATGAAGAATACTTGGTTGGGGTCTGCGTGACTATCGTAATCAATGGTTAGAAACTCTGGGTGACATGGCTCAGGATCGATCACAATGGTGTAATTTTATACACAATCTGTATTCCCTTAAACTATTAAAATTGCTTTATATCTTTTTTCTATCAACTAATTCTTTCTTTCTGTACCATATACTTATATGCAATCTTTCTTTTATATATTACCACCATTGAATTAACTACTTTATGAATTCGGTGTTCACCTTGTTGTGCTAATGAGGCATGGCAGCTTGGAACGATGCACATATTTGCCAGGTCATACGTTGTAGCTGAATGACTGACATACATTAAGATACACAATTTGGTCCCGATTGGAATATGTGAGGCTGATTTGACACAAATCGGAAAGTAAATACTAGCAACAGGAGAAATGTTGTTATGGAGAAAATGTCGCCTCCCAAAGTCCTGTAAGATCTACTGAAAGAGAAAATCACCATGGGAATCAACTGGAAGAGGACCTAAGAAGAAGTAACTTCAACATTCCAGGAAGTGCTAGGCACCAAGGAGTATTGAGATAAAGAATGGATCGTTGTAGAAAGCCTAGACAAGATTCAAGAAAGGAATAACATGACACCAATCAACAACAAAAAGCGGTGAGAGCAAATTGATAGGCTAAATAAAGAGTAAACAAACGAGTGACGAAGAGCATTGGTCCTGACAAGGGAGAGTGTGTGGAAGGCCAGGGAACTACAAGAAAACAAGCTACAACAGAAGGAAAGATTAAAAAACTACATAATACAACCAAAAAGCTGATAGGGAAATATGGTAGACCAGAAAGACCGGTCAGGAACAAAGAATAATCAGGATCTAGAGAAGCGGAAGAGGTGGGTAGATCACTTTGAAGAGCTTTTGAATATACGAGTGCTACTGAACACACCAGACATCAAAGCATCACATACAGACCTCCCTGTAAATGATACCCCACCAACAATAGAAATCTGAAAGGACATCGGAATAATCAGAATGACAAAGTAACAGGTCCAGATAACATATCAACCTAAGTACTAAAGTCAGAATACAAGGTCCTCCATATTTTTTAGGAACAACAAATACTAACACATTAGAAAGATGGATACAACATCAAGTTGCTGGAGTACAAGAACTTCAGAAGGAATGTGCTGTTATCACTATTAGACAAAGTTTTCAACGTAGTGTTGCTGAACCGAAGGAGATTGAGTGGACGCACAACTTTGAGATCAATAGGATGGCTTTCGTACGAATTGACCATACATCGACACTGAAGATCATCGACTAACAATCAACTGAATGAGACTCATCGCTATACATTACTGTTCTTGATCATAAGAAAGCATTTTACAGAGAGAATAAGGAAGCCATGTGGGAACTTCAATATTATAACGTATCTAAGAAGATCGCCACTATTATGTGAAACTCCTACGGGGGACTGAGTTCCAAAGTCATTTATGGTGGGCACGTCCAAGATGCATTCATGTGATTAGTGTTCAACAAGACTATCTACTCTCGTCTTTTCTATTTCTGCTGAAGAACGAAATATAGTGGACACAACTGGGTGTCCTCTAAATGCAAGTTGTTGCTTCAGGACTGGTCTGCGTCAACACCTGAACTAAGGATATGGAGTGAAGTAGTCGAACGCGTTGACAACTCCACTTATCTTGGAAGTCTGATCAGCCCTAATGGGTTGGTGTCTGACGAAATCTCAGCACGGATTCGAAAAGCTCGTTTGGATTTCGCCAACTTACGTCACCTATGGCGAAGGCGAGATATTCGTCTATCAATAAAAGGACGAGTATACAGCGCGGCAGTCTGTTCTGTTTTACTTTACGGCAGCGAAACATGGCCTTTAAGAGTAGAAGACACTTGTAAGCTACTAGTATTTGACCACAGATACCTTAGAAATATTGCTGGCGTCTGCTGGGACCACCGGGTAAGTAATAGTGAGGTTAGACGCAGGGTATTAGGGAATGATGGTAAATCAGTTGATGAGGTTGTGAATCTTCATCGACTGAGATGGTTGGGCCACGTGTTACGTATGCCTGAACACCGATTACCACGACGTGCAATGCTAACCGGTGTTGGAGATGGTTGGAAATTAGGGACGACCAAACCAAAACGTGGCATCAGTGCTTGAAGTCACTAACTTCTATTGTGAGCCATGTTGGTAGATGCAGACTACTTGGTTGGAGTCCGCGTGACTATCGTAACCAATGGTTAGAGACTCTTGGTGACATGGCTCAGAATCGATCACAATGGCGTCGGTGTATACACTCTCTATCTTCCCTTAAACTAGGAGATTAAAATCGCTTCATATATTTCTTTATACGAACTAATTCTTTCTTCATGTACTATATCCTTATATGCAATCTTTTATATATTATTATCATTGACTTAACCACTCCCATGAATCCGGTGTCAATCTTGCTGTGCTAATGCGGTATGGCAACTTGGACCGATGCATATATGTGCTTGGTCCTACGCTGTAGCTGACTGACTGACAAAACTTATTCGCAATGAATACCGTGATATAATGAAAATGGAGTTCTCGGAAAACGATTGAAACACTTCCCAACTATGACGTTTTGACTTGCAACTCAGATAACAATACCTAGAATTCCTGGAAAATTGACTAGATATTTTATCAAGCCTTTATATACGTAAACACAGCAAGCTTGTTTTATATCCACGCTTGGGAACAATAAAGTGCCATAAGAGGTTTTGTAGTCCTTATTGATTTTCTTTTACATCGCCGGTTAGTAAGATCAACAAACTTTTTTATAGGTGATATGTATAATCTTTCACAAAATAATTCTGAAAGCCAAACAAGCCATATTAGGTGCTTCATACAACTGGATAAACCATCTGATGTGAATTGCCCTAACGACCTCTAATTTTAATGTGAAAAATAAGGCTATGATGTGTCACTGCAAACGTTTGTAGGGATGGTGTTGTGTAAACATGAAAAGCGTTTAGAATGAAGTATTTTCTAACAGTTTAGTTAAAGCTCAATGACTTTACACTAACTTTGGATAATCTACTTTCTACTCACTCATCAAATCGATTTTATATCCGTATTTTTACAAAACAACTATCCGGTTAGCAGAGTTTTACAGTAATTATTGTTCAGTCAATTTTATACCGCGCTTTAGAGTGATCATTTGCATGGTTGGTTGTGGACCACATTAACTTTAAAAAAATTAGCCTGGTTTATGGCAACATATAGGAGCAACTATGAAAAGACATAGTTTCCATTGTAATAAGTATTAAGATAAATTATTTCTTGTGTCTAACACTAATGCCTTAAGACTTTCAATTAGGTAACTGCTGCCGGGAAATCAATGCACGAATAAAAAATTTCATGGCAAGAGCCAGATACTAGTCACCAATCATTCAAAACTTACGTTGGGTTGTGTGAGCGACTGATCGCGCTTGGTAAGCTGCGCCGGTTTTGTAAATCCCTGTTTTACTGGAAGGCTTTATAATGACATTGACTGTATCGTCATCACCATCATTCTCTTCGCACTGGTCATCTGCATCAAAGTCGGCAACAGCAGCAGCAATTACCGCATTTCTCTCCTCTTCTATAAACGAGCAACCATCGTTTTCTTGGGCCTTTGACACATCAATGCTTTCTGTCTGCATACCTTCACCATTCGGCAACTTAGGATCCACAGTTGGTGAAGTTGCATTATCGACATTACATTCATCTGTTTTTCAGAACCCACGTAAATTGGAAAGTAGTGACATACCATTGGGAATCACTTCACTGTCCATCCTTTAGGCAAGGGTGAACTACGCGGCTCCCATTCAGTATTCCAATATGAAGAGTCTGATAATGACTTCAAATGGTTGTAAAAGGATCTTTAAATCAACTGCATCAGTAAAAAAATATGTTCTTCCTATAATTAATTACAGATAGAACATATATCTGTGGTATTTGTATGAACTAGTGATTCTATTGTACTTGAGGACCCGCTTATTACGAATTCCAAATATCATACGTTCATTGGTATTCATCTAGCTCTACTTCCTGTAAATTGCATCATTTTCGGAATTCCTAGTTATTTCAATAATTCGGATACTTTTAATAATCATAGTCATTTTTAATATGTTCCATCATTCGACTAGTAGTCACTTCAATTTCATTCCTTCCATTTTATCGTTATCTCACAGGAGGTTTTCCAAATACACCTCCGAATCTCTTAATTATTGGATTCTGTTTCGACCCGATTTGGGTTCCTCAAGTTAAAAGAAGTTAAGGACAATAGCGTTGTCAAATACTGTGAACATGTAACATCTCCAAAGCCTTAAAACCAGTCTCCCACTTCCTGCGCACACACATTGATGGATAACTGATTTATACTATTCGAACCCGTTAATGTTAGTACGAGCCGCAAATTACAGTAAATCTACAACTCAATGAAACGGTAAATCAATAAGCCTAAAAAAGCGTGAAATGATCGATCTGTAGTGTCAGTTATTATGGCAAGCCCATATATCTTATTCTAACTTCCGGACATCCTATTTTATTCATTTTACTTGAGCCATATTTTGACCTTGTCAATTATTCGCTTATTAGCCTTGACTGTTTTCACATGAGCGTATATGTGTGTACACTTCACGTCCCATGATTCATTGTATGTCTGTAGCTTATTTTGTCTGACTATAAATATGGAATAACACTTGACTAAAAGGGAGTTGGCTTCCCAGCCATCTTCCATACGTGTGATTTTTGCTTTGCTGTGCTTCATTCGCTTCATGTACAAAATATATGTATTCACAAATCAGTTCTCGTTATTCGACTTATTTAATTCCGTTATTGGATAGCGCGAAATAAGTCGATGATGATATACGAGAATAGGTGATAACAATCATTTATACGATCTAAATAGAGTCAGATCAACGTGCCACCTCAGATCAACAAATAATGAAAGATGCCTTAACAATCATTTCATGCTGAATAGCGATTGACGAAACTACATACGCTTACTTCTGTTGGGATCACAATGGGAGTAAACCTTATTTTTGCCAGGTGCAACAAACACATGTGATTAAGACCTCAATGTCATTGAAACCCTTGAAGACCGTGGTAAAATTACCTGTGAGAAAATGGTTATTTATATGTGAATCGTTTTTCTAAATCAGACCGAATTTTGGGAAAGTCGTTTTTCGTTGGAGATTGATGACGAATGTTGAGGATGCCTCATCAAGATACCAAAGAAACGAGATCTGAGCAAATATGGGAACTTTAGAGGAATCACATTGATGTAAGTAACAGGAAAGGTTTTCAACGAAGTGTTGCAGAACCGGAAGAAAGGTTAAGTAGTGTTATGTCCTTTGGTCTGTCTACCCACTCTTGGTGCTGAGGATACTTATCTAATTCAGATTAAGACCTTGGCACGATAGGCTGATCGACCCAACCTTAAGGCTAGTACGCGTGGGTTCGAAGTGGGGTAGAGAGAAAACTATTCTATCACCTGATTGGATAACAAGCACGCGAATGAGGGAAGACAACAAGTAAACGCCCAACTTCGAGATGAACAGGCTGGATTCCGTTGGGCCTGGTTGTGCACAGACCGAATCGCGGCACAACGGATCATTTTTGAACAATTAGTGAAATGGAGATATGGAAGCATCATTATTCATAAACTTTCTTGACGATGAGGATAAGTCTGACATTATGGAATATTCTCTGATACTATGGAGTACCTGAAAAGATAGGAAATATAATCCAGAATTCATTTGATGGACCAAACTGCTAATTCGTGAATGAAGGGCAGCTGACAGATTCATTTCAAATGAGGATCAACGTCAAATAAGGCTTCTAGTGGTTGACAGGTTTATACAAACCTCCAAATCTGAGGGGAAGCAAGGGATACAATGGACAGCTTAGATAAAACTAGACAATTTGGATTTTGCAGATGACGTAGCTCCTCTATCCTATACACATCAACAAATTAGATTAAAGATAGCCAAGAATTGGGTCTCAACATACACAATGGAAAAAGCAAGATCCTCAAATAGAACGCAGCGAGCACCAACTCAATGACATATGATGGAGAAACTCTGGAAGATATGGCAAATTGGGGCAGCATTCCTACAGTTGAATGATATATGGAGGACAAAATAAATTTCAACCAACATCATAGTGAGGATGTTCAATGTGGACGTCCATAAGGTCCTACTGTACGGAGCTGAAACTCGGAGAATTACCACAGCCATAATCAAAAAGGTACAAGTATTTGTAAGCAGTTGTTTGAGCAAGATACACAATATCCGTTAACTGGGTGCGATCAACAACAACCTACTGTGGAAGGGAACAAACCAGCTTCCAGCACAAGAAGAAAATAAGAAAGTCGTTGAATTTGGACAGGACATACATCATAGAAATCTTCAAATTGTATCACGAAACAAGCGCTAACTTGGAATCGCGAAGTGTGATGGAGAAGAGGCAGACCGAGGAACATATTGTGAAGGGAATTAGAGAGAGACACCAAAAGAATGAATACAATTTGGAAAAGCTGGAAAGGAAAAGCCTGGGGTAGAGTTGGTAAGTGAATGCTAGTCGGCGGTATGTGATATGGTCAAGCATATTAAGGCCAGCTGGAACACCAATGTTTGTAGCAAAGACATAAATGAGACAAAACAACTCCGGGCGAAACAGCATCTATCACGACTTACGGAGAGGAAATATTGGACTTTATCTATCAGTGAAGTAAGATCCTGGTTATTAGATAGACTACATGTCAATCGTCGATTCTGTAATTAGTTTGGGATCAGATAAGTTTCAGATTTGGTTCAGAAGTCATATTTGTAGGAAAATTCACAATTGAAATTGTCGCAATTCAACATTTTGTGCAATATGTTTTAAAACAACAAAAGTTGGCAGATTACGTTTAATGTCTACCAAGATATCATCTCTCTGATTGTACCGTCATTCTAATATTAAGTGCAGTAATTTGCCATATTTATGGTTTCACAAGCATTTCTAATGTAAAAACCGAAATTCACATGTGTACAACATTTGCACTGCTTATTTCCAGGGTTTTGAACTAATACCGCAATAAACTATCAGGTAAGGGGAATAAAAAGCGGATCAATTTCCTCCCGTTCAATATGTCGTTTAGTGGAGATAGTGAAAGCAGATTGACCTTGGAGAAATCATGTTCAGAATTTGATTCAAATGGAATCTACATTTTCAGAGGAGTTATTGAGGATCTACTACCGAAGACTTTTCCCATGCGATCTGTTTGCACAGTGGCTTACATATAATTCTCGAAGTAGTGGGGTAAATAGTGTTATATAATCTTCGTAGCTTTCTAAAAGAGAATTCAGTTTCACACTGAATGGTGATATCTATCTTAGATATCAGAGTTTTGATTCGTCGTCGGACCTTAGGAAGGATCTAGTCAAGCTATGCCCTATTAAGATTGATATTGGGGCAGTTTACTCAACTTCTCCGAGGCTTCATCGTTCAATTTTATCTTCTTCACTCAAGGTAAACTTTCTCAGTGTTTTGTTGATTATCTCATTTGGTTGTCTCATAGAACCGTATTGCGTCTGGGTAGCTAGTGTGTGTAGTCCTTCAGGTCAGATCGTTTACGACTGATTTGTAACAGTGATGTCGATTTGGAGTTTTCGGTATACTAAGGTTTATGAAACAGCCACTTAATTATACCATTCTCGAAAGATTTGTTGTTTGTCAGATTCACTTGTCACTACAATTCGCTCAGAAAATCTCGCTTTTAGTAAGCTGCTTCGCTGTGATGATTGTTGTTGACTTTTACACGGATGTAGCTTGCATTGAATCGATGGATGATTAACTTTTTCAAGCCATTATTTTTAATCTTGGTTTTCATTTTGCAAGTTTATTTCTACTGAAAGCAAATCAAATACGAACGTTTTGCCTAAAGATACAAGCAGTGACATTAAAAAACAACAACCATCAGGCTCTGGTTTAATAAGCTGACAGGTTATTTCGTAATTCCACTTGTATAATTATGAACGGAAACTAGACAGAGGCACTTACGTTTCATGGCTTTAATTCTCTTTGGTCTGTGACAAACTTGTTTCATTTTTGTTGGCTGGTTTTAATAACGCGGTTGTGTGCCTGTTAACTAGTTTGTCCATTTTGAATAAACGTGCAAAATAAAGTTTCTGCTAACCACTTTTCCTCGTTTTATTTTACGTGACGGTATTTGATGACCAATGACTCTCAGTTCATGTCATCATGATATTTTTGACTTTTCAAATAAATCTCTCCCATCTCGGTATTGGCTCATGGTTCTGTACTTACCACAAGTGTGTTAATTCTTGGTCTGATTCGACATTCATGTTTACCAAGCATATATTGGCATTAATAATTGGAAGTGAAGTTTTTTATACATGAATCACGACAACAAAAAACAATCCAGAACGTTTAAGTCAATCAAACCATTGCTGAATTTTTATTCTGCACGCAAAACTAAAGAAAATTGAGCTGCTTCATAACTTGTGCACTCATTTTTTTGTATGCATTCAGATTTCATGTTTGCTGTGATACCCACTATTCGTCTTTGTAGTTAATATTTCAGTTACAGGTTCAATTTCTAAATTTGAAACTTTTTTTCTGGGCTAAAACACTAATCTTGTACTTGTATTGGGATCATTGAAGAAGACATCGGGCTGTAATTCAGTGACTGAAATCAAGGTCCTTATACCATATAATAAACAGTCGGCTAAAAATGGAAATTATCACTGCTTGTGATAGTAATATATGGTTTTGCTTGAGTTATGTATCTGTTTTTACTGGAACACAAAACCTTAAACACTTGTATTACTTAGAAGTACAGATCACATGGAGCTGAGCACAATTATCGCTGTAAACCGTATACATATGCGTATGATTTTCTTTTATAATTAGCCTGAATGGAAAGAATTAGTTTTCGATATTGATTTGACTGATTATGATGAAGTTCGTTATTGTTGTGGTGAACAAAGTACTTCTGGATCTTCTATTTGCCTTCGATGCTGGCAACTTGCTCGTTCTGCAGTCCTCTGTATCGACCGTGCCTTAAGAGAAGACTTTGGGTTCCAGCATTTATTGTGGGTGTATTCAGGTCGTCGTGGAGTTCATTGCTGGGTATGTGATCGTTCCGCTCGGCATTTAGATCAAACTTCGCGTACAGCTATCGCGGAGTATTTAACTTTGGTTAGAGGGGGTAACGGTAAGAAGGTAATTCTACCATTTTTAATTCTTATTGTGTAGACTTTGACTTTAGAAGAAATGCTTATGAACACCACACTTGTATTTTCAATAGTGATGTTTATTAAGATTACAAAGAACAATATTAAGGCTAAGGACACATTTAATTGGTATAAAAAACCAGTCAGTCGGTTATTACTAGATTTGATATTCAACATTTTAAGGTTGAAACACGGACGCTACTGACCTTGGTTAAATTTTTATGTTTGCTTTTCGTTACGTGTGAAAAGTTAATGAAGAATGTCGGGAAATTGTTTTATTAGGAGTTATGCTGAGGAGACTATTAAATTAATACTCTTGTTTGGTGCACAAAAGGGTTCGAACTTTCCTCTACGTTCGCCTTTCTGCATATCAGATTGTTTCGCATGAATTTTTTCGTAAGGTTTATAGCCGAAAAATAGGTGACTTTGGGTAACTGTTAAAACATGTATTTTACCAAGAATGCATCAAAAATCGTTTACATGCTTTCTCACTTATAACTATCCTTGTTTCTGTTCACACTAATTGCTACAGTTCGTAGGATCAGCAGTTAAAACAGAGTGAATGATGGCTCCTCAGTGTTCATAGCTTGATGGACCAACCAAAATATTCTAGCCCTAAACGTATTTGACTCTTTAGAACAGATGAGCTTGGTTTATTGAAGCAACAGTAGATGTTTTATAGAAGTGGCGATGGTTTTATAAAAAAGTGTAAAGCTAGCAATGTACTAACAGGAATAATGGCACTAGGGGTGGTCATAAAAATCAAATGATATTTGCTTTTTAAACGTTATCTTACTACTAATGAAGAACGTAAAAGAAAATTCGTTCCTGTCATTAACTATGTCTGGTTAGTTTTCATATAACTGAATTACATGGTCATGATCCATCAACCTAGGCAGAGATGGTGCAATTAAACCATTACGTTTGCACCAAAGTGTTCAACATTTGGTCTTTAACTGTCAGATTAATATTATTGTGATATCTCTAGATAGACCTATTACACATCGGGTCTCCCTGTTCGGAGTGATATTGTCCTTTATACGCTTAGTATGTATTCATGCGCATCCACGTAGGGTGATTGAAGGATCTCGGTCTTCCTGTCACACTACTGACCTTTCTTGACTTTCTCAAGCAAAATGTAGCTACGACTATACCTGGATGTTATGATAATATTTCTAGTTTCTAAAATCTCACTCTATTACTTTCCGCATTGTTAGTATTTTTGTTTGCTCATTTTTTTAAAAAAAATTTATATCACTAAATGTATATTGTGCGGTTTGTTTTTAATGAAGTGATTAATTCGAATTTAAAAAAAATTGTTGAAATAACTTCGAAATAACCTTATAGATTTATATTCATTAAACTTTTCAACTAGCCCACACTTACTGCTGGTAACTTCTCAAAATCTTATGATTCACATTCACATGGGAATATTGAGCCAATTTTTCATCCTTGTGTGGATGCAGCTTGTGATATATTGATGCCTCGATTCACAACTTATTGCAGTACAACAAATGGTCAAAATTTATTCGGAAATAAAAAACGTTTGGATAAGTTACTGTCATTTTTACCGGTTGAGTTAAAAGATCTTCGTGAACGACTTTTAGATGAGTGGTCTACCGATACTCAAGAAAACAAAGAAGAAGTATCTACAAAAAGATGGAACACATTAAGAAAGTTTTTGAAAGAAAATGGTCGCGCAAATGTTTTGAAGGAAATAGTCTTAAATTTCACATACCCTAGACTAGATGTTAATGTGTCAACAGGTAAAGTCATTTTACCGGTTCGTTTGTCACGTCATATTGACGTTAAGTTACTAAGCATCATGTTTACACATGTATAGTTATTTTATCAATTACATGTTTTGTTAAACAGCATGTCCATAATCACAACCCAAAAATCACCTGGTAAGTATCAGTTAGGATACTTGAAGCAAGATAGTTCAAGTAAGCAAGCCATGCAATTTTGGCTAGTGGTAATGCACTATCTTTTCATCACACTTCTGCTGATCATTGAATAGAATTCATTTGTACGATTTAATTCTTCACTCGGGTTCTCTGCTTTTAGAGTTTACAGTAAATTGTTTTATTCATGTTCATTAATGCCACTGATCTTTTATTTTACTATTAACTATAAAAGGAGCAAGTTTTTGAGCAGATGACCATTTACTCATTAGATGTACAGATGCGTAGTCAAAATAACCTTATTTTTTATTCAACTTACGGAAGTACTTCGGTACGGTATATTCTCACTTAATATATATTAGAATGATATGTATATCATTCCAAAGCATACCGGTCGTAATAAGTCTTAACGACCTACTAGATGAATCATTTGCCTGCTTGCAATCTTACCGCTCTTCAATCAACCTGTCTGGTATAGTAGGACCTTGAGAAACGATTGCTTCAGCCAGTATAGCTCGATTTATTCATTACGATAGGCAAGCCCGACCACCACGTCAAGATAGCAGCAACGGACGGGAATGGATGCACCTGTGCCATTGAGAACGATTCTGAGCCATGTAATTCAGTCTCTTACCATTGGTTACGATAGTCACGCGGACCCCAACAAGGTAGTCTACTGTTAACGACTTGATGATTTAATGCCATGCTTTAGTTTGACCACTCCTAGCTCTCTTCATGCCTACCCCTACACCAGAGAACATCGGCCGTCGTGGTGGGCGGTTGCTAGGCATATGTAACACGTCCCAACCAACTCAGTTAATGAAGGTTGACTACCTCATCAATTGGTTTTCCTGTTGCTTTATTCCTAACCTAGCCATTGCTTACTCGGTGGTCCCAAAGTACACAAACAATGCTTCTAAGATACCTATGATCCAATAATGGTAACCTCTACTCCTAACAACTATGTTTCACATTTACAAAGCAGAACGGAGTGAACTGCCGTGCAGTAAACTCATGTTTTAGTTGGTAAACAGATACCTCACCTACGCTACAAGTAACGCATATTAGCAAAACCCAATCGAGATTTTTGAATCGGTGCCGGTGTTTCGTCAGACACCAGTTCACCGGGACTTACCGGATCTCCAAGATAAGTGAGGTTGTCGATACGCTCAGCTACTTCATTCCCTATCATCAATTCAGGCACTGACACCCGCCAGTTCTGAAGTAACAATTTTCATTTGGGGGAGAGAACCACATCCCAAATATGGTTGTAGTGTTGTTTAAGGTGGCCAGAAGACTGCATTTTGCCAGTGTCATATGCATACTCTAGGTCAACAAGTAAATCTTGGTAGAAGACCAACACTTGAAGAATCAGACGAGGGAAGTGTTGTTTCCAAATGCATGTCTGTGACGAAGTTAAACAAATATTGAGAAAACAGACGACCCTGACGAATGCCGCTTGAAGTAACCAGTTCCGATGATAGTTTGTAGGGGCTGGTGCTATGTCAAGCCCACATAGGTTATTCTAGCCCCTGGATATACCAGTCTATTCATTCTTGTCAAGCCAAATTTTCACTTTGTCGCTTATTCACTTGTCAGCCTTGATCGTTTTTATGTTAGGGTGTGTATACATTGCTTATCCTACTCGTCACATGCCTGTTGGTTATTTTTATCTGACTATAAATATAGATTCACGCTTAGTTAAATCGTGTTGGCTCACTTGCCTTCTCCATTGAGCATCATTTCGTTTCGCTTTGCTCTTCTCTTTTCTTTTTCCACTTCGTTTCCTTGATTGTATGTCCAGATCCATGATTGTATGAAATATGAGAATTTATAGTTCATTCTTTTATTCGACTTATTTAATCCTCTTATTCGCTAACACGATTTAATTCGATAATTATATACGAGGATTGGCGGCATGTATATTTCGACAGCAATCAGCAAACGATCTAACTGGAGTCAGATACTGGGGCACTAAAAGTTCACCATAAGTTCTGACTCGACTAGTGTTCGAGTGGAGAGCCTGTAAAAGATTAATATACCTCTTTGGTACGTCTTTCAACGACAAACAATGACATAAAGCCTCATGATCAACAGAGTCAAGTACTGCCTTAAAGTCAAGGAATACAACTATAGTAGGACGTCGTAAAGTATGTCTATATTCCAGAATCTGCTGAAAGGCGAGTATTTGGTCTATATATCCACATTCAGGTCTGAAGCCAAACTGGTTTTTTCGAGTTTGCTCTTCGGGAATTCCAGTTAAACATCGAAGTATTATTGTGGCTAATATTTTAGACGCTACATTAGTTAAACTGATTCCTTCGTGATTGTCACAAGAAGATTTTTGTTTTTCCTTATAAATTGGGACGGTTAAGACCAGTCATATGGGGTTACGTCCAGTTCCCATAACTTAGCTAAGATCTCAGTTTATCCAACTGCTAAAACTGAACTGCCATTATTAAAAGTTTCAGGGGTTAGTCCATCAAGCTCCGTTGCTCTCCCTTGCTTTAGATGAGCCTTTTCAACCTCAATAAGAGTTGAAGGGCTTACATCAGTTTGGCATTCAGATTGCTTAGAGATAGTGGGTAACTGAAGGCCAGTTTAACTGTTCTTTAGAGTGTTCTGCTCTTCGGTTTGACCTCCTGGATCGAGAAAGAACAATAGTCTCGACTTTTTCCTATACAGTCTCACTAACATCGTATTTTTAATACGCGCTTCCTTGATAAGTGTGAACAGTTGTTTACTGTTACCTATCGCTGCTGCCTTTCCCATCTCTTCTGCTTTCGCTGCCCACCACTAGTCACGATCATCATATAGGTTTTCTATCAACCTACGCTTAAGCTGCCTCAGCCCTTCATCATGTTCTGAGCCAGACGGGGTGAGTCCTCAAGTATTTATCAGTTCTATAGACGCCTACGAAATCCACTGATTTTTCCCAATCTTTTGGTTTAAGCTACTAGTATATATTACCGCTGTTTCTGCAGCATTTTGGTTATCATACCAAGCTACCTCAGGGTGAATATAATTTATAAGGTTAAACAGTTCCTCTTGCTGATTCTGAAATGTATTCTTAACTTTTTCATCATTAAGTTGTACCCTAAGGGGTTTTCTTTTTGTGGCCTTTCTACGTCCCGTAAGACACAAACGAATACATGCTCGAATTAAAGCATGGTTTGAGTCTAAAAAATGTGCTCCAGAATGATCGACAGTCTTCAGTCGGACATTAAAAGCTTTATCATTCAGTTTAGAGAGCGGTTTTAGGAGACCAGGAATAATATTTCGTGAATTCTAGTTATTAACATTTCTGGTGCATGGTGGTAAGGTTAAGTAAAAAGGGTTAGTCGTAGAGATACAAGGTTTATTAAAATGTCAGGGAGGGATGTGATAGTCAACAAGATGATTTTGGGTGCTGATAGAAGTGTAAGGGCGGTTGTTAATTCCCGGTCGCCCACACTGTCGAAGGGTTTTATTTGGGGGACCTGAATTAGTGATTGTCTTAGCGACCTGAGAGCGTAACTTCAGAGCCCAGTCGTGTGCTGTTACGGGTATGAGGGCTGATGTCGCTTCCCGACTGCCCGCACCGTAGAAGGGTATTTCTTGACGAACCTGAAAAGGAAATTGGATTAGTGTTGGTCTTAACGACCTGGGAGCGTGACCGCAGAGCCCAAGGGACAACTGCTTGAGGCCGGTCGCGCACGGCCTTTTTGTGGAAGGTTTTTGACGTGTTAGCTCCGTTTTCCAAAGGGCCTTACCGCCGGAGATGAAAATACATGAGGTAAGGTGAGGTGTGACATTTTTAGGGTCGACCTTTTCTAACCCTTTCCTTCCTTGTGGAAAGGCAGCATCGCTGTCATGCTGGTTGTCCAAGGGAGACACCTTACTGCTGTCACTCCCCTCTACTGTCAGCATTACCACTTCGCCTTCAGACCTTGAGTTGCTGTTTTTAGTCTTACCGTTCTCCAATAGACCCGCCTGATATGGTAGAACATACAGAAACATAAGTTCCTGGCAATATAACTCGGTTAGATCATCACAATAAGCAAGCCCGACCACCGCGTCAAGGTAGCAGCTTCGGTCGGGAACTTCAGAGTCCAGAGACCGACCTCAAGCAGTTGTCTTCTAACTTCAGAGCCCAGAAGACAACTGCTTGAGGTCGGTCTCGCACTATCTTTTTTTCATAAAAATTGGTGTTTTAGCTCTCTACTTCAGAAGGCCTTACCATCGGAGATGGAAATTCGTGGGGTAAAGTGAGATGTAATATATTTGAGGTCGGCCTTTTCTTGCACCTTCCTTTCTCGTGAGAAGGCAGCATCGTTGCAGGTGCTGGTTATCCGAGGGAACACCTTACTGTTGTCACACCCCTCTATGGTCAGCAGTAGGACTTCGTCCTTGAGCTTCTTTTAGTCTCACCGTTCTTCGACCGACCTGTCTGACCTGGTAGGACCCAAAGAAACGTGTTCCAGTCAATGTAACTCGGTTAATTCATCACGATGGGCAAGCCCGATCACCACGTGAAGGTAGGAGCTATGGCCGGCCTACATTTGATGAAGAAAATGTCAAAATACTGAATCGAGGTATGTACAATAATTCCAGCGACCATTTTGTCCGATTTTGAATCGATAAACACATCGACATAAATGGAATTACACGATTAGAGATTAACACAGCAAAACAGTGGCAACATAGTGAGTAGGTAAAAAATAATAAGTCCTAGGAATACGACGAGTCATAAACAAAATCATCAGGAAGAACTGACATAGTGCTTGAGATTTAATCAAAAAGCCAATTTATACTAGAATTAGAGATTATTGATACTGTCCAGGATAACATCGAAGATTTCTCAACTAAACCACTTAACTCAGAGAACTTAGAACTATCAAAAACATTTTAATTCAAGGTAACTTTGAATAAGTTTTAATATTTGGAGATTTTTTCCACTTTATTGTTTTTTATCTTATTGGGTTTCTATTATCCGTCATTCCTTATAGGTCTTAATCATTTACTGAAGAGTCCATTTTGTGTGCATCCGAAAACTGGTTATATATGCATACCATTTATTCCACAAGAAGTCGATAAACTTGATCCATTTAATGTACCAACATTAAATGAACTTGTAGAACAGCTTTCTTCTGTAACAAATAATGATCATGATTGTGGTAATAATGATGAAAATATTTCATCCAATGATAGACATTTATTATCGTTTAAGAATACCTCTTTAAGGTCTTCAATTGAATATTTTGAGACTTTCATAAAACATGTTTTAAAAGCAGAAAATTCATGTTTTAATGTTAATCAAGCTGAGGGTAATTCAGATTCATTTAAATCTATTCCTGTATTTTAACACTTCCTTTTGTAAAAGAGATTTTAAAGACAGTATATGAATTATGTTATATTATTATTATTATTATTATTATTGTTAGTATTCAAAAGCTTTTTTATTTGTACACCATGTTAATATTTCTCAACTCCGACTTCATTACAGTCAACAGCATTACTTCTATCCTCTTCTTTCTTATCGTGCTAACTAGAGTCAAGAGGATCAGTTAAGTAGTTGGAGCTTTTTGATCATAACCTCAATGTATCAATTAAAAACACACTTAAATTGATCTTTTGTATATCAAGTATAATGGTTAGAATTTATGTACTGACTTTTTTGTCACATAGTGGAAATCATAGTAAAAATTTATTAGAATTTCATGAGCATAGTTCACACCGAACAATTTAATGCGACGGAAATTCGTCTCAATCGATATTGGTTTCCTTTCTTATAAGTCGTTATGTCTCATGGACGAACGCAGTTGCTTACAAATTAAATCATATTAAAGGATAATGTCTTGATGAGAAATATTGGACAAACACAGATAAAAAACAAAATTTATAAGACAACATTCTACTGTAGTTATTTTAGTAATACATTTTTTTACGTCTAATCATGTTGGACATCTCACGTGTGTACTTAATTTTTTCACTGAAGCACATTATGAAGTAGAATTTCTTATTTAATAAAGTTCCGCTTTCTAGATCTCGGGGATAAAAATAATAAGCTAAAAAGGTGTGTCACAAAGGTACTTATAACTGTTTTGGTCTAATTTATAACACTTGTCCAAGATGCTCCAGGCGAGCGACTTTACCAACCCATATTCGTAGATTCTTTTCAAAGGAGAGGCTTGAACAATTTTTAACGGAAAAATGGATTTCCACAGCATTTTTTTTACTGAACACACAAAAACGGTGGAAATATCAAGCAAAATATAACTCATAAGTAAATGTTGTTTTTATTCTGCCTCTCTCCATTGTTCCATTCGAGTAGTGGGGTTAGGCAGGGTTGCCCAATCTCACCATTCCTCTTCAACTTTGCCATCGATGACATTCTGGAAACAGCTCTGATGAATGTAAGTAATGGTGGTGTGGATCTGTTGCCTGGAGAAAGACCTCTCGACCTTGAGTATGCGGACGATATTGTCTTACTGTGCGATAATGCCCAAGGCATGCAATCCGCACTTAATCGGTTGACAATCAGTGTCCGTAGGTATGATATGTGCTTTGCACCTTCGAAGTGCAAAGTACTTCTACAAGACTGGCAGGATTCCAATCCTGTACTCACCCTGGATGGTGAGCAGATAGAAATAGTTCGTGTATCTGGGTAGCTGCATAAGTGCTGGTGGGGGTGTGATTGATGAGATCAATGCACGTATAGTGAAAGCCAGAGCGGCTTATGCCAATCTGGACCACCTTTTGGCGTTTTCGTGATGTTAGCCTGGCTGTACAAGGTCGGATCTACAACGCGTTGGTGAGAGCAGTTTTGCTCTATGCTTGTGAAACCTGGTCTCTCCGAGTTGAGGACGTTAGACGACTCTCTGTGTTCGATCATCGTCGTCTCCGAAGGATTGATGACATCCAGTGGCAACACCATGTTAGTAGTGCAGAGGTTCAGCATTGTGTGTTCGGGCAAAAAGACGATAAGTTTATTTCTGTCACTAACTTGAAACATCGACTTCGGTGGCTTGGACATGTTGTACGAATGTCGTCCCAGAGAATTCCACGTCGTGCATTATTTGCCGACTCTGGGACTGGTTGGAAGAAGCGGAGAGGTGGTCAGTGTATGACATTGTATGGTGGTATGAAAGAAAGCTGCAAAGGACTGGCTTGTGTTGGTCTTTCACGACTCCCTGGTTGGGGTCTGAGAGATGGTGCTACACAGTGGCTAGAGACGTTATCAGATATGGCTCAGAATAGAAGCCAGTGGCGATCCTGCTGTAACCTTCTTTTACTTTCTTCATAAAAAGTGGTTCTGCTTCCCTTACCTGAAAGATTTCTTCCGATTGTACCTTTGCGTTCCCTGATTACTAGCACATTACCTTACACCAATCTCTTCGTTATTGTTCTCTCTTTTTTTTTGCGCTCCTTAGCTTTTTTTTTCTTTCTTTGTATTCCTCTAGAATTTTCATTGTTTTGTGTGGCGCATATATATTGGCGCTCTCTTGTACCAATATTCATGTGTCCAAATAAATAAATAAAAAATTCTGCTTCAAAGTTAATGAGAGCACAATATGTGGTGAAATTATATTGTTCTGCTTCAGTTGTCCTGGATTTATTCAAATTCGTTGAGGGAATCTATTCTATGATTGGTTCATGTTTACATATGGATGGTGTAGATGATAATTGTATGTAATTATTCTGCCATTTCCTACTTGTTTCAACACTTGCGAACACGGTATTCCTTCAGTTTGTCAGTGCATGATTGAAATGGTTCTCAAATTACTCACTGCTGTATATTAAAAGCTAACTGAATACAGTGACTTTTCAAGTCTCAATTGTAGAATATTTTATTTACCGCTAGATATTTTCGAACTGGAAATTTTTAGTTTTTTAGTGAATACATCCTACATAGTATGACATGAAAATATTTAGTTTGGAGTTAAGATTGCTGTTGGGGTGACGGTCAACTTTCTGAAACTGAAGCAGTAAAGATCCTACAAAAGTTTATTGTTCTCACCATAAATTCATTCTGTTTGTACCTTATCGCTGTCCTTCTCATGTCTTCCAAATCAATAAATTCAAATGTGTTTCTATTTGTTTTCTACTCAAAATAAAATAACACAACTAAGTCCCATGTTTTCTGCTCTGTAACTTGTTAAACGACAGTCATACTATTTGTTAGTAAAAAGTAGTATAATTAATTTAATAACAATTAATGTTCACACCTTGAATTTAGGTTATTGAGATATCACTGTTGTTACACTTTTAGATTCGTGTTACAGATACACTGCATGTAGCTCAGGTATAATATTACCTAAAGTAAATCTTGGTAGCTTTAATTTCTAATTTTTGGAAAAGAGGAACTTCATTACGTTAGGTTTTTCAGAAGCACTTAAATGTCTATCTGTTTTAAAGAATTTATCGTTTGAGAATTTATCATGTATGTTGATAACTGTCAAAATGGAAAACTAGTTCTCTACAATATCTTCGTCTTTGTCCTCCGAATATTGGTTTTCATTTAGTCTGTTTCGGGTTTGGATTATTTAGTCCAAAACGTTTTCTGCAACGTCGGATACAGCGCTTTCGAATCGGATGTCGGTGGTTGTATGTGTTTGATTGTAAGCATTGAGCGCGACATTCGCATTTGATAATGAATCGCGTGTGTTGAGCTAATTGAAAAGGAAGAGGATAGAATAATATAATTACTTTGCGTTATTATATGTTCGTCTGTATACAGTGCTATCCACATAAAGTGGTCAATGGAAATGAAATTTAGAGAAAACAAGCAAGAATATGATAATCATAAGTTGTGTCAAAGAAGCGTTCTCCAAAATTAATGTTTTTGTTCGTAAACAAATTTACCACTAGTTTAATAATGATAAATGGTTGTCTCGCTATTCTTAAATTTCAAGAGTGGTTGTATTTTTTGTATTTACCTTGATTGTTAATTTTGTGAATATTTTGCAGATGTTGCTGAAATGGATCTCCATCACTAATCTCTAGATCTACATGCTTGTAAAATGGCATTAAACATTGTATGAATCCATTCCTTTTATTCCATAATATTCTGCATCTGAGGCGTAGTTATTAACGCTGCAAAATATGTTTAAGTTAAATATATATTGGAAGCATTGTCAACTTTTTGTCAAAGCTACAGGTGAACTATTTTAGAGTTAACCATATAGGTTTGAGTAAAATGAATGAGTTCCCCTATCATATAACGGAATTGTATTGATCGAGGTTGTTAGATCATGTTCTTGAGTGGTATAAGTAGCCGCAAGTGTCATGGTACGGCCGAGAGTGGGGAGAGTAAGCTCTCCCTCTCGAAATGCTCTCACATGGCCACACGTATATAGCCACTAACAGGGAAGTCCTACTCACTGCCATCTCTCAGCGGGAGTGCTGTTGAGAGTATAGGAAGCGGATGTTCGGCCCTTTAACCGAGTTGGTGGACACGGAGGGTCCACATAGGGGATTTGGAAAACCCTAGTTCCAAACAATGAGCCCCACTATCCCAGAAAAACAAATGGCGTGTGAACCTATTGTTGGTCACCGGTTACCATTGGACTGCATATCCTGACGTTGCTCCACTGCCTTGTATGTTAGATTATTATGGCAAAGGCTCGGCATGTGGCCCCATAGGGAAACCACCTGCTTCGGTCTGGGCCCCCGACAGTATCAGCCCACACACAAATAAAAGGAAATGGCAGTAATTACTGGAAATACAGTTCTTGATCCAATTAAAATCCAGATAACTCACATCCATTTAATAACATACATTTTTTCATGTGCTACGTCACTTATCTAATCTTTTATTCCACATTGTGTATCCTTATATTTCAGTTTATACAGCAACTCGCTTATTGAAGAAACCCTGTTCTGTCTAAACGATCTCGAGTTACTGACTTTTCGAAAACTGAATGCTTCCACCGATTGCGAATACTGAAACAGTCTTTCTAAAACGACGTATACCATTCAAACTGGCTTCCTTCATTTTTCTGACCCTAATGCAGATCAGACAACAAATAGGGTTGGCTAGGCCTTCAGAAAGTTTTAATATCGACATCTGTTGTCTATCCGACACCCATATTCAAGACTCTAGTGAAGTAATACAAATTCGCTCTCCGTTTGTCGCTTCGTAAAGCTTGTTTCACGTGCATATATCCGGGGACCCTGTGCCATCTTCTGGCCTTGCTTCCATTGGTATCACACAAAGCGTTAAACTTGAGAAAGTTTTGATCGATTGGATCTCCATTAACAGTCGATTATTGCTGTTATATTAGAAAGTTCCATCAAAGTGAGAAGAAATCGGCGTGAGAATCGATGTCTTTTCGTCATCTCCACCTATGCTCCGACAGATTGCGCCCAGGATGCAATCAAGGATGTTTCACCACCATTTAACAGTTCTTCCACAGAAGGTGCGTTCGACAGATATTTTAGTACTAGCCGGAGACTTGAATGCTCAGGTCGGGCGTCTAGGCACAGAAGAGAATCGTTTATGTGGTCGATGAGGACTTGTTGGTCGCAGGACAGATAACGGGGACCGTCTACTGCAACTATACACAGACCACAACCTGTTTCTGGCTAGTAATAACTACCAGCACAGTCATCGCCGATGTACCACCTGGCTTCCTTCCTCTGCATATCAAGCCTGGACTCAGATTGATCACATCGCGATCAGCTACCGCTCACGTGATTGTGTACCAGGCTGCGGCTCCTTTTGGTATATGTATCTGAACTCTGATCACACCCTTGTTTGCGAAAATCTTATATTACTTTTCAGTGGCCAACAGATTCATCGTCCTAAACTGATCGATGTCAGTAAATTGGTTGCAACTAAATATCAAACCGAACTAGGTTCTGGGTTAGTTAGCATACCACCGAAAAGTACGGATGAGCATCGGTTGCGATTGCATGACGCTTGCGGCTTCGCGAAACGTACCGCTTATAAGCATTGGGTTTCTTTAGGTTCCTACAAGTCATTGAAACCCGTCGGTCTACTCCGGGTGACCGTGTGTTTGACCACAAATGACGACAGTTACGTAATGAAATTGGACATAGCTTGAGTAAGGAACGAGAAGCCTGGTGGTTGGGGCCTGTCAATGAGTTGGAAGCAGCAGCTGCACCCGGTAAATACCAGAAGATCTTCCAAATCATCCGAGCCACTGGCAGCAAGAAAGTGGTGTGAGCGAAACAATCTGTGGGGATAACGGGATGCCAGTCACCAACATCTATCGACGTTTAGGACGATGGACAGAGCTCTTCGAGTGGCAGTTCAATTGGTCTGCTGTCTCGGCAACATCGATTAGACTGTCCTGCCCTCCATGGCCCGTGAGGACTGATCCATCAAATG